TAAGATGAGATAAGAGGCATAAGGTGTTGGTTAGGTGCATGATGTGGTGTTGTAATTTGTAATGATGTGATATTTTGTGTAGATTTATTATAGTGACGTGATTTTGTATGATGTGATATTTTTGCGACAGTCTAGTCGCAACAGTGCTTTAATTCATCGTTATCAGGGTATATTTTAGCCATATTTTATGTTGCTGCGATGATTGTTGCGATTTTCAGACTAAATGACTTTTGAAAAACAGCTGTAATGATATTTTGAATGAAAAGGCATTTCGTTTTCAAGTGCTGGAAGTATAGAACGAAGTTCTTCAGCAGTAGCTAATGATTATACGGGGATTTCAGTTTCGAAGTGGATATGTGCAATGACATATACGGGCCTGAGCATAAAATAGAAACGATCGATGGAAAAATTCACGAGACGTTGAAATATTTCGGCGGAAGCCATCACTTCAACGTAAGCTGATTTCTTCACAAATGATTAACTAATAGTTAGCAGCTCTTCTTCAGCAATGCTAATGAATTCTGCAGCAGATAACGCCAAAACCCGTGGCAATATTGCGTTAAATTTAACGGAACTTCCTTCTCACTTCTTTCTTCAGGGTACAAATGTTGTGTTCCCAAACGGCAATATTGATCCGTGGCATGCACTTGGACTATACTCACATATACAGCCATCAATTGTGCCCATCCTTATAAACGGTAAGCGGCCTCTTTTTACTTGAGGCGGTGTCAAATGATACGGCATCTTAATATCAACGCTATGGGGTGTATTTCCTATGTTACTGAATCAGATGACCATTTAGGCACGGTTCACTGCGAAGACATGCAACCAGAGCTTCCCACTGATCCACCAGCTCTAGTCAACGCTCGCAAAATTATCGCCTCTAATATCGATATATGGCTTCGGGGTAAACGAAAACAACAGGATGTAAAGGCTGAAATGCCGAAAGTTACATCACAAATCAAAAAAACGCGATCAAAGCTTCCAAAAATGAAGCAGTTCAGTTCGGTGCTGAAAAGAGTACCGTTAAAACCAATCAGACAGGTAAAATTGTGATTGTCGTCAAAATGGTGGAGGCGTTCGAATGATCAAATTAAACACTGATCCATCCTTCGAATGAATTCTCCAGTTACATGATATTTTTTGAAGTTTCGCTCGACGAAAGATGTATAAGTCCTATCAACTCCTTCACGTGATCTCAGAATGGCGATGCTCGGAGTTCAGTCAAATTATTTTATTAAATTCTGAATTGTTGCAGCTAACGATTATTCTTAATTCTAACATATCCCTAACATCAATGCGAAATTTTCAGGAATTATATCATACGGAGACGATACCGGGACACTTAAAATCATTCATTTGGGGCCGACCGCTGAGGGGACTTGTTGTTGATCCACCAGTGAGTATTTCGAATTCATCTTCAATTCTTCCTTATGCGATTCGGAATTCACAATACGTACCAGATATGAATGATGAACTTTCAGGCACCAATCGATATGGTTGCTTATCCTGAAGGCTTCATCGCTGGAACCATTACTATGCCTCTTGATCACTTCGAGGCCACAAACACCAACACATTCAATCAGGTGAT